CCCCCAAACATTTAATTTAAGAAATTTTTTTTTTTTTCTAAATAAATCTTCAAAAAAAAAAAAAAAAAAATCAACCCATTCAGAAAATTCTCTTTTTTTTATATATAAAAAAGTAAGATCAAAAAAATACTTGAACTAGATCTAAAGTTTGTTTATTCCCCCCCCCCCCCCCCCCAGCATATCGCAGATTTTAATAGAAACAACTCAATCATAATGAAAATTATCACTTAATATTACAAAGTGAATTGGAAATCATATAAAATCCTTTATGTCCCCATTTTAATTTCCAATTAGTCTTATTTATACTATAAAATTTTTTCAATTGATTGAAATCATTGATATCATCAATATTAACATTTTTCTCATATTCTATACCAAACGTATGAATATTTCGAAGTTCAATAAATTCGATACAATCCTTAAAATTATTTAACAACTCGAAAAAGGAATTGTAATTATGTGATTTTTGATATAAAATGATCTCACTTAAATTAGGAGCGTGAAATTTTTTAAGAAAGTAGTGCAAATTATTGAAGTTTCTTAAATTTTTCAACACTAGCAAATTTAAAGTTACAGGTAAATTATCAATTAACTTTAACAGGAATAATGTATCATGATCACAATCCATTGATATCTTTAATTTGGTAAGTTCAAGATTTTTAATTAAGGTAAAGAAGTTTGGGAAATTTTGATGACGTAAATCAAATACCTCCAAGGAATTGATATTTGTACAATAAGTTAAAATGGAATTAATAATTTTCTTATCTAATACATTTAAAGAAAGATTTTTTAAATTTGTTCCAATGATTTGAAAAAATAAAGGCGAATAAATTTCATCAAATGAAATTTTATTACCATATAATGTAAAGAAACAACTTTGAACGGTTAAATTATTTATGGGTAATCTTAAATCTTTTAAATCTTCAATTAGATCGTATTTTTTGATGTATAATCTACAATTGATTAATGTTAACTTCAACAAATTATGATCATTTTCTTGTGAAAAGATTAAGGAGAAATCTAAAATATTGATTTCAAATTTACTTAATTCAATACTTTTTAACCAATTGACATGTAAATTTAACGATTTAAATAAAAGATTTAATTCACGTTCATTCTTATATTTCCTATCACACTTTAAGGCAATAGAATTTAGCCTTGCTTGATTTCTTATAATATTGTTGACAAAATATTTCAAGGGTAAGTTCGTTCGATTAAGTGACAATGATATAATTTGAATTTGAGTGCATAAAGTGGAAACAATGGAAAGAAGTTCTTCATAAAATTGACCATTTTCGAAGTGAATGTGTAGTTCCTTGATTAATTTAATACCAGGATTGTCTAAAGTAAATATTGAAATATCAGGAAGTATGATATGCATATTCGATTGAGATAACGCATGCATTTCATTAATACATAATGTTTGAATATCTGATTGTCTCATAAATAATCTCAATAATACGTCAAAAACGTTGGAATAATATTTTAAAAAGATTTCGTCCGAGTCGATGTAAATATAATACTCCATCCAATTTTCTATAATTTTGCTCAATCCACCAAATTCTATCACCTTTAAAAATGATACGTAATCTATGATTTGTTTGTCATGATGAAAAATGTTAATTCCTTGTTGAATCAACAAATTCGTTTCATCTTGATTTAAACTCCTCAAATAATTATCAAGGAAGTAGAAATTTTTCGTTTCTCGAGTTATTTCTTTATATTTAAACGGATCACTCCATAATAATGGTATAACATTTATACACCAAGCGTGATTGACTAGAAGGCATGAGAATAAATTTTCATCCGTTTGAACATGTTTTAATATTTCCTGGATACATTCTGTTGGTAATAAGGTCATTCTTTTTTTTTTTCTTTTGGAAAGGAAAAAAAGATGTGTGGGAATTATTGTCAAATTAATGCCGTTTTCGGTAGTTTGATCGGCAGAATTAGTTTATAATTTAGGTAATCATATCAATCACATGAATGTCAAATTCTATAAAGATTTACAACAATAGAAATCAATGATATAATAAAGCATAACAAACGCCCATTTTAAAAACAATATCTGCACATACTGCGCCACTAAATAATTGAATTCATTAAATTCGATATTGCTAGAATCTTATTTAGCAACTAAGCCACAATTCCATGCTCGGTTAACCGGCTAATAATTAATATTAACCTCCAATTAAACGGTTAATAATTAGCCGGTTCCAATCACTTAAAACTCTGTCGACTCAAGGTCAACTTACATGTTTATTTACATAAATTCTCGACTGCTATATTAATAAATAATACAAAAAATAAAAAAAAATGATGAAAAACAAGATTCGTTATATTTTTGACTAATTGTATCAAATCCTATAATATCAACATACCAATTGATTGGAAAAATTTATAACCAAATTTTTTCCTACCTTTTTCTTTCAATTATTTTTATTATATCAATTTTCGATTGCTCTAATACATACTTAGTATTGTATCAATTTTTAAAGATAAAAAGTTGAGCTTATATGTACAAAAATAATTTTAAATATCAAATTTTCGAATATAACTTTTTGTTTTAAATTTAGTAATATAACTCTTTTGCTAATTTTACCTAAGTGAAAATAATCTGGGTAGTGATTTCACTTTTTTTTACTTTGTAGCATGTGATATCTTTTCTGTAAATCTTTTTTATGTGGCGACCGAAGGGAACAAAAAAAATACAGTAATATAGAAATAAATGTTATGCGTAGTGTGCGTATTATATATATATATATATTTTTACCAGATACTGCACTACTAGATAATTTGTATTTGTGGTCTTGAAATGCATGAAAGAATCCCCACCTTTTTTTCATAATGAAAATAATTTTCAAAACACTTTCTTTTTTTAACATCTAACAAAATTATATTAATTATAGTGAGTTTTTAACCGGGTTTTTGAAAGAAGCCATACGAAGAACGGTTTAGCAGCATGAGAGTACAATGTTAATTATGAGTTGTTTTGAGAGGCAACCAGCGTTTTTCTCATATTTATGTGGTTCTATTTTTTATCGAAATATTTACTTTTCATTAGGAGGAAAAAATATATATATATGAAAATTATTACAGATATTCCTTGAACAAATGGTAGAACAAGGGAGACATATATTAGTCCAGTTTTTTATTTGGAGATTTTTTTAACTTATGTTCATCGACTTGGTGAAGAGGTTATGTTTTCTTTATATTGTTGGTAGGCCCCTGGTATTTCCTTTATGAATGTAATTGTTGCCTTTAACATAAAACTCGTATCCATGTTGCTTTTAGGAAATGATGATCTTCTGCTAAACGTCATTTTAGAATTTTATAATTTTTTAAATATATTTTAGGTTCAGTTTTTAGAGATTTAACTTACGCACATCGTCTACATAGTATTAGTCACAGGTAACAATTATACATTTGTTGATCACAAATTTTTTTATGCCATAATGAATTTTATTCGACCACGAAAGTTGTTAGGAGGTAATTAAGAGGTAATAATTCATGATGACCCAAATTATCAGAAGAAGAACTAAAGGTAATTAATAGGTATATTAGAAGAATTAGAATTTTACTTTTGAGTTAAAAACAAAGCCTTATATTCTGTATGAGGTTTATGAAGCATCTCATTCTTGGGAATTGTGACAAATTCGTTATTACACAGTAATTAATACTATTAACGTGATCTGTAATCGCTCTCAATTATTGTAAAAAATAAGTAATATAATGATCATGCTCCTTATAATTTATAAAAAAAAAACCAAAAATTTGTTTCTAAATAAATACAAACATTAATGGTTTTATAGTATATAAAGATATATAAGTTGTAAATATAAATATAAAATTATTTTGAGAAGGATTGATTACTTGATTTGGAACGTAATAAACTACTGTTAAAAATTTTATTAAGAAATTCGTTGGGATAAAATATATTGTTGCAAGGAGACAAACCGATGGGTGAACTCTTTCCCGCTTCAGGAAGTCGCATAATCACGAGAAATGTTTAATCCCGCGAATTTTTTTTAAAAGAATATTTGAAAATAATTATACAGTATATGAAGAAATTTTGCAATATTTATCAATACTGCTTCACATTTTCCCAATAATTATTAAACCGTATAGATCATGCAAATTCATTAAGTAAGTAATTAAAAGCACGAGAGCGAAACTTTCAATCATATCATTGGATTAAATAATTAAAATAAAAAGTCCCTGTCTCAAAAACAATAACAGTCTCTCGCTATTGTTTTAATATATACACAACTTTTGATTAACTATGTTTATTAACAAAATATTTATCTACTTTCTAGGTTCAAACCCTTGTATTTTTAAATCTTAATAAATCTTTAGCGGTAAATTTCATTGCGATGTGAATTATTCCGTCGCAAAGTTTGAAATCTTATAATTAATGTGAAGTAAGATTAAAAATGACTTCCATTTATTCGCTTCCTTATAGTAATTCCAGTAATTCTTTGAGTAGATGATATCAATATAAAAGAGGATTAGAGAAAGCTTGTCAAGATAAAAATTACAAAAACTAAAACTTTTGAATTTTTCACAAAAATCTAAATTATGGTTGTATTTAAAAATAAACAAATTATATTAAAAAAGTAAATGGACGAATGAACATAGTAATCTTGTAAAGAAAAAATTATTGTAGATTTAATATTTAAATCCAGAAAAAAAATATATTTAAAACATTCCACTCTATTCTTCCTCGAAATACTAGCCGTGTAGATTTTTGTTGTTCTCAAGAATCCCTTTCCTAAAAAAAAAAACTGATTAATTCACACTTATTTATACTTTTTTTACTAATTTGTAAAATCTTTGTCGTGCCAGAAGTAAAAGACATTTAATCTACTCTCCTGTAACGTTGTTAAGCCTAAACACTACGTCGACAGGTTAGCTATCCTTATTTGTCAACGTTTATTATACTATGAAAGAAATAAACACGAATTAATTAAATTGATGATTTATGTTTTTAAAGAAATTGAGAATAGCAAGAATATAAGTTTTACGTTGTTAAGATTATACTTTATTGATAAATTTAAGATGGAAACTTGTTCCTTTGTTAAGGCGTCAATACATGATATTTATATAAAATACAAATATAATAAAGAGATATTTAATATACTGTAATAACGATAATAAATATAGCTATAATAATAATGATAATAAATAAAATAAAGATAAATGATAAAATAAATATATATTAAATCATATTGTGGCGCATATGGATTATCTTCAATATGGATTAGTTAATATAAAAACTTCGATTTAGTAATAATTGTCTGAAATGAAGCGAAGGACAATTTACTATATTAGAATTATTAAACTTTGTTATTTCTCCTGAAAAGCGTACTTTCACAAAAACCACCATAATTTCCATTTTTGGATACTCCTAATCCCTATATTAAGTGATTTCTGAAATATTTTATTCACGAAGGCATTTTAACGCTTTCCGATTTTCTAGATAGTTTCTAAATTAACATAGCTAAGTATCTGTATTACATACTTTTTTTATTTTATCTGATTATCTTAGCGCCTTTTTGAGTAATTACTCAGTTCCACTTGTCTTCCGTGAAAAATGCACGACCCAAACTTTCGGAGGGTGAAGTTGACAATAATGTTTTGTTTCTTTCCTAACACTTCCAGGTAACGGCGATGATGGCATTAGAATTTAGTGTTTTGGGCGAAACTAGTTTCGCCAAATTGATATGCAAAATCTTTCCAAATTTGGGGTTTCGGAGGTTTCGGATGTTGAAAAAAAGTTTCGCCTAAAACACTAATAGGATCTGAACAATTTAACGTTATCCTCTGAAAAGCAAATTCTGGTGAGAAATATTATTTGGTAAGAATAATCAGACAAAAATAAGCTTAGATGGTGGATGCAAGAAAATTCCAATATCATCTCAACCCATCAAGGCGAACTGTTTGACCCATCTGTATAAATTTGTTATCTCACTTTATTTACTTACTTTTTTATTTTTTTTTAGGAGAATTTTAGCAATAAAACGAATTTCTTCATAAATGTGAATATGGTATATAGGGAATAGTAAAAAGTATGATGCTTTCTTTTTCTCAACGTTTACATAATAATTATTAAAATAAAATGCTATATTTCACAGGGAAAGTATTTAAAGTATTTTTTTCTATGGAATGCTTTCAGTTTCTGAGCATGATAAGCAATAAACGTAGACTTGATAAAAAAATTGTATTGAAAAATATTATTTTAAAATTTACAGCAGCGTTGTTCACTGAAATTTGATTAGTTAAGGAGAAGGGGGATTAACCCAAAATGGGTAATAACCAGATAGAGTTTATGTTAAAATTTATTTATTTATTCATTAGGAAATTCTAATTGTCAATCCAAATCCACTCAAAATAAAATTTTTAAAATCCTTCGAAATTTCTCTGAAACACAAAAAAAAAAAAGAAATACAAAAAAATTCTCCTTTTATTCTCACCTTTGTAATTCAAATCAATCATTTTGCGAAAAATTCAAACTAATTTGCTGAAGGTTCTACGAAGCAAAAATTTGATGTTTCATTACAATGCTATCCATTTGAATATTTCTATTATTTTTAGTCATTTGAAAGTTCGATAAACTTTTTGAATCTTTGATTAATTCTATAGTAACGCCAAGATAAAAATAGTTTTCACGACTATCCATAATTCCCCCCTAAGCTCAGAATAAAATTTTGAAACAAATAATACTTTTGGTAATAAATAATAAATCGCTATTTAATCCCTTTACTAGATTGGTTGTCAATCGGTTAATCCAATTTACGACACTCTTTCCTCAGGCGATTATCACCAATAATAATTATTTTTGGAATTTAATGACGGATGGTTATTAAGATGTTCAAATTTACCTTGATATTTTGCTTTTTATCATCCGAAATTTTAACGATTAGTGTGACATAAAATTTATTAAATATCAATAACTTGCAAATTTTTTTAAAAAAAAGTTAAAATTAAATCTGCATAATCTTTAACTATACCTTTGAGAGATTCAACACTTATTGTGATGTACTACTATTTTCGTTGATACTCCGCAGCACTTTACAAATGCAACAATACAAGTGCCATCATATGTGCTTAAATTTTTGGTTCATTCAGCAGGAAATTGAGAAACATCTGACCGTTAGCAAAGTTATAAATTTTTGCACGTCAAATAATAAAATGAAGTCTGGATTAGAATTATAGTACCATCCAAGGATTTGAATATTTAATACGTGTGCAAAATTTATTTGTTCGTCATTAAGCTATAATTATAAAAATAAAATTTATGTTCATTTTACTTTTGAACTTTTCAATTTAATAAATTAAATGTAAAGATTTTTACCATGCTATTATCATAATTATATATCCCAAGTAACCATTTCGATTTGTTTACGGTAATAAGACTGCATTTACTTCCATCATTACATATCTGATATTTATTTTGACTGGTTAATTATAATTGAATTGTTGAGCATGTGTTTTCGACGAGTATGTACAGTTCGTTTTTAATCTTCCAAATTACTAGCAATAAATGAATTTTTCATAAATCCAACAAATAAAAATATTAAAGTTATAAATAAATGACAGATCTTAATTAATCTTTGTAAAGATTAATAACTTCCATAAGTTCCAAGAAGGAGATGATAGACGAAACAAAATTTAATGCCTAAATATTGTGTGAAAAATATATAAACATATTCTAATAGTTATCTTTAATGGAGAATTAGATGAACTAGTACAATTACAAATCGTTGATCAATTTAACATCCAATTTATTTCAATGATAAAACTAACAAAGTCATTCCTTCTTTTGATACAGATATTTTGGCATCTATCATGGGGGATACAATAAATTAATTAGGAACTTTAATACCAATCAATCAATTAAGAAATTTTAAACATTTATTTGTATCATTGCGTATAAATCCAAGAATGTAATGACAAAATTATTATTATTAGAACCCAAATTTCCATATTAATTTATTGTGATATATTGTCTGACTCTGTAATCTTTTTTTCGGTCGTTCTTTGTCTTTACAAGTTTTTTATTGCTTTGATTTCTAATTTTAAGTCTTTAATAGTTATTTCAGCTAAAACAGAAAGTCCGTATTATACCAAATGGACCTTGTTTCTCTTCGTTGACAATATTGTGTAATAAATCAAGTAAATATCTTAATATCATCAAATTTTAGCCTTATTAATAAATTGTGACGTAGCTTAGTCACTTTTACTTTAACCTGTATAATATCTGGATTAGTAAACCAAAATCTTCCCCAAATTTCACGCCAAATTTACTCACATAATCGCAACTTCCAAGGGTATATAACATATTACATTTGTATATGTTCGTCATAACCAGCGTCCATCTTCTCCGTTTTTCTCTTTGATAATTATATCATTATATATACAGAGGATTATCAAAATTTTCCGAACGATTTCTTATGCAATATAAAACATTTAATTTTTATAACTCAATAAAAAATCTATATTATAACTTTATTTTATAGGTATTAAAGGCTACATTTTGTACTATAAAACTAGTATTTAATTGGGCCACCTTCTGCCACAATCACCGCCTGAATTCGTGCTGGCATAGTGTCAACTAAATTTTCAATTAACATTTTGGAATCGATTTCCATGCATTTTTAACATCCCTTTCAAGATCAGCAAGGAAATTTGGTATTTTCTTTTTATTTCTAATATTTTTTTTTCACCTCTGCCCATAAATTTTCAATTGGGTTAAGGTCTGGGCTTTGGGCAGGCCAAGAAAGAATGCATAAGTTTTTTTCCGCACGAAATGATGATGCAACCTTCGATTTGTGGGGTTTGGCATTGTCTTCTTGAAATAAACCATTGTTTTTTTGGAAACATACGTTTCATTGTAGGTAAAACATGCTTACGCAGTATTTCAACATGTGTATTTCCAGTTGCTGATCCATGAATTGGTACAACCGTTCTCATCCCTTGTGAAAAACAACCCAAAACATACGGCTTGGGCTATGCTTGACCGTGGCTGAAACAAAAGAGAGTGACCGTTCGTCTTCTGGTTCTCTCCATACCCTGCTAGTTTGACTTTGTTGGAATTGGGTAAAAGTCGATTCATCACTCCATAAAACTTTTCTCAATAGTTTTTTGTCCATCTCTCATGTTCTAAGCATCATGCAAGTCGTGCTTCTTTATTTGCTGTAAAATCATCTTGCAACACAACTTCTCAGCCCAAGTGAGTGAAGAGTATGACGAATGGTTATTTCAGAAACATCTTGCTTTGTTTTTTTCTTCAAAGTTCCCTTATTCCAGAAGCACATAATCGTCGATTTTGTGCTTTTTCATTTGTTACCAAACGTTTAAGACGATTACGTCGTGTAATATCGATCAGATGTGGTCATCCGAGGCGAAGCTTAGAGTGTGTAGAACCAGTTTCAGCATGCCTTTTCAATGTGTCGTATACTATTGTATTGCCACATCCAACAGTTTCTGCAATTTTACTATATGAATCACCATTTTTTACGACAATAAATTATCACACTACGTTGCTCCGCAGTTAATTCGTTATTATTTCTCATTGTTGCAGTTGTAGCCGTAAGTTAAAAAAAAAAATTTGAAAAGGGAAATTTGAAGTTAAAAAGCAAAATAAACAAATTAACAAACATGAATGTATATAAAATTACCTTTTATATATATCAATCGCATTCCAATAATAGCGTTCGGAAGCTTTTGATAACCCTCTATATTATCTTTTGTATGCTAAATTTTGTTCCATGCGGACGTATTGCTTGAGCAATAATTCTTTTATCAATTTCATTTTACTCATTTTCTTATTTCCTGTTCTTAGTACTTTTAAGTCGGTGGATAATGATGAATGTTTTCAATGAAATTAATTAATATTATTTCAATATTGTCCAGCTCTCACTGATGCTTCATTGGGAGGATTTATTTATTTTAATACTTTTAAGAATCCCGGGTTAGTTATTGATGTGAAAACAAGCTGTATTTGCAAATAAAATTGGTCATAATTAAGGCGGAGGATTAGTTATAAATTATACGACTCATGGTAACTATATTTTGAATTGATGTTAACATTATTATGCTTTAACGTATTTTTTTTTTTTTTTTTGTTCTTTCCTCACAGGTCAAGGAAAACCTAAACTCTGTTCTTATGATACGAAATTAGATATTAGTGTGGTGGAACTCTTTGGGAGATGTTAATATCAAAGATTTGGTATTTTAACAAATTTTATTTTTTATTCAAATTGCTGGATTTTCACATAAATCTTAATCAATTTAGGGTTTTGGATTAGTCCGAACGTAAAAAAGTTGGTGAAACAAAATACGGTGTTGAATGGCACGGATGTAAGCTCCTTTTTTTCCAAGAGTAAAAGTATTGGCTAATGAATTATTTTATTCTACACCAATAGATGGTCAAGATCAAATTAATCCACGCTTTCGTACGGCTGAGAACTCAAGAAGCTTAAAGCTCACGCGAGAAAGACGTTAAGTTATGGTTGATGTATGTTTAACCTACAATTTTGACTATATCATTTTTTTTGATTTTGAATTATAATAGATCTTTTTTTTCTGATAATATCCATAGTTGGAAAATATTCCTAGAGCCTAAGAAAATGTTATAATATTTAATAAAATTGAATATTATGACCTGGAGATTAAGGA